ATGCGTTCGTCGTACAAAGACTTCCAACTCTTCTTGGCCTTCGAACCCGTTTGTTCTTCACTCGGGCTTATACTGGACATCATCGCGTTGTTGCTCTGCTTGGCCAGAGATGATTGGGTACTAGCCGAATGTGAGTATTCTCCCCTCCACCTGTGACTCTTGGTCTCCGATTTGGACATCCCCTTGAACAACACTTCCTCTCGCGGCTCGACCTCGGAACGCTCCGAGGTCTCCTCCGTCCTCTCGACTTCCTCCCGCTCGAGGTCCTCGCTCAACTCAAAGTCGGGTCGAATGAGCGTCTGTTCTCCCTCGTCAAAGGGGTCCACAAGCGTTTCGCTCGCGGTTCCGGCTTCGGCGCTCCGCCTTTGATCGCCATCGAGGTTTTTCTCGCTCCTTAATCTCATTCCGCTCACTGAAAGATCAGGTTGACCTTTAGTCGATTCGTTTTCAGCAAACACGTCGGAGGCGCTGCTAAACGAGGACTGGCTACGCCTAGTTTTAAATTTTTGCGTGCTGCCCTTGCTCAGCCTGGGAATCTTAGTAGTCGATCCTAACGAGTCCCTGCGCTGCATACTTTGTGACAAAAAACAATATTCGTATGTCGAAAAGTCAGTATCAATCTCTTAGGTTTCTCAATGACAATCTTAGTGACTCAGCTAGAGTTACACACACACACAGGGCCTGCCCGGTATTGATATAATGCTAACTCAACCCTGTCGTATAGTATAACAGTATCACAAAATTTTCACAAGATATAATCAACACACAAAACACAATAGATAATCAGATAAGAATATCCTACAGGTGACAGCGACCTTTTGTCAGTATCAATTTATTGCCACACAATTTATCAAGTCACTGCTTTGTTAAAATTAAACAATCTTGGATAAAAGGCAGTGATGATTCAGAAACAGATCAATAAAACTTAGTCTTAAAGAAAAAGACTTCCCCCAATCGGAACGATCCGAAAGAACAAAGCCCAGGACACAGTCTTCTCAAGTGGGTGTATGTTTGCCTAATACACCCACCGAGGTCTTCTTTTAGGTGCCCTGAGATTGCCCGAGCTGTCCTATTAAGTGGCTCAAGGCAACCTCTGATCGAAAATTTCTAAAGTCTATGAAAAAGCTCTCCCACACCCGGACTGCTCCAAGTGCACGTGAGTAGGGAACAACTTTTCTTCTCAAGTGAGTGTGTATTTGCCTAAAACACTCACCGAGGTCTTCTTTTATTTGTTCCCGGATTGCCCGAACTTTCCTATTAATTAGCTCAAGGCAACCACACAACCAAAATCACAATCAAAAAAAATTTTGTTCGGGTACTTCGGATACACCCGATCTAGAATCCAAAGTTGATCACAAATTTCCGGGTCAAAGTGGGCTCTTATGATCCTAATAAGCACGCCTAATATCCTAAAATGATCTTAATTAAATGGATATTTTCCGTCTCCCAAATTGCCACAGAAGGTTTCCTCAAGCTTCTAACAAGGAGGGCTGCTAAGAAGTTTAAGTCACTCCGGAGGGTTGTTAAGACACTTAGCCTACCTCGGAGGGTTACTTCGGAGGGTACCTTAATCACCCAAGTTACCTCGGAGGGTCCCCTTAAATTTACTAAGGAGGGTCAATAAGATGCTTAATATGCTCCGGAGGGTTACTTCGGAGGGTACCTCCAAAATTTTCAAATTTCTGAACCCCACTTAGAAGGGCCTTCAATTAACTTCAGGAAGCGTCAAAACAAGCTAAATTCTCTAGGGGGGGCTGTTTAAACTTCTTTGGATGATCTCGTGGAAATTTTCTACTAAGGAGGATTGCTAAGGGGTTTAGCTGACTCCGGAGGGTTACTTCGGAGGGTTCCCCAAAAATCAAAAAAAAGGTTATGTTACCGCGATAAAGTCTCCAAAAGCGGTCCACCTGACTTAAAATTAGGTTGGCTGACACGGTCAACCTTCCCAGTTAGATAAAAAGGTGTTTTGCTAAAATTTTCTGCCGCTCGGAGGGTTACCTGTGATTTGGACCCTCCGAACCAACAAATTCTAAAAAAAAATTTCTTTTCCGAAATTATCAACCCAAAAACGGTTATGGTCCGGAAAAGTGGTCCAAAACGTCGACTTATGGTACCAAAATTATCCCGATCGGTTGACTAGTCTTTGAGAAATTGCCAAAAACGTGTTTGTCCAAATGGCCTTTTTTCACCACTTATATAGGTTCTGAGAAACTTTTTCCGCAATTCCTATTGAAAGTGCCTAAAAATAACTGAAACGAGCGTAGTAGCCCTGTACGGCACTGGAATTATGCAAAAAAACCGGACCAAAATTTGTTTGGAGACAAAAAATTTGGCCAATAACTATCAAATTTGGACCCTCCGATTCCTTCCTTTTCCAATTCTTAAGTCGTTAACTCTATCCACGGAGCTAATCGGAGGGTTACTCAAGAATTTTTCTGGCAGCTGAGCTCGTTATGCTAGCACGCTCCTAATGCAAAAAATGTTATTGCTCTAACTCTAAAAACTCAAAAACTCGATCCCCAACACAGATTGACAAAATTCAGAAAATTATCGAAACTTTGACCGAAAAATTTTGGTTTTTTTCAACTTTTACTGAATCTTTTCTCACGCGGTTTCTTTAGTTAGGGGGATTGAACTACGTAGCTACTCCCTATATAAAAGCTTTTTGCTGTTCGGAAAAGCTCGGATATCCAAAAATTTGGGGGTCTATAGTTTGTCAAAAATCAGTAAATTTCGACAAAATTTGGGTGTTTCTTGGGTCTAAATAGGAGATAAGTAATATATAGTAAGGACAATAATCTATTAGTAGTCGTTAATGAATAGTACTATACCCTCCTTCGCACCAAAATACCCGAATTAAGACCCTTAACTCGGAAATTTGTAATCGATGGAGGGTACAATCGGACCGCGCCAATCGTGCCCCCCACCACTTAAGTTTTAATGAAATAGTACCCGAACGATACTAAACTTGCTTCAACGATACCCAACAGTCGTTGTGGATGTTGTCCCTATGTCCCTGTTGAGTATGGAACACGTCGGTCAGCTTGCCACTCTACCCTCCGGTCACCGGCAAAATCACCATTAACGTGCTTAAACACTCAAATTACACTCGAGGGAGGGTATCCAACCCTTCACCAAAACACACGATCTTGCTATCAGAAACGATATAAATCAATCTGAAACAACAACAAATAGGAAGGTCAGATCACATATCGTCCGGAAATAACATATAAACTGTCACTTTACGTTTTTTACTGTTTTTGGTCCTTTTTGGATTTTTTACTGTTTTTTGTACTTTTTTTGTTTTCAAATAAATTTGTTTTTGGCTTTTTATTGTTTATACACTATTTTTGTTTGGTCTTACGCTTTCTTTTTAATTGTTTTTGATCCCGGGACCTTGGGACAAGCGGGCTCATGACTTCCCACCTAACCCTCCGGCCCCCGGAATTTTCGGTGTTAACTAAGTTAAAAAGCTAAATAGTACTGGACGGAGGGTACGCACCTTTCCCCTAGTATAATAACGGTCATTAAGGCCTCTAACTCGGGCATACGCCCGGAGCGGAGGGTTCGTCACTGAAACGCTTGCTGATCATGATGGTCTTATGCCTTTGACAGGCCCACCCAGGAGCGCCATAAAAACGTCTATGTAACATTCGCCCAAATACTACACAGCGACGGAGCGTAGAAAAAGTACCTATTAACGACTGGCAGGCGTCAGTTACCTTAATCCTACTCGTTTTTCGCCGTCTCGACCTTGCCAGTTGATTTTCTGGTCTGTTTAGGGCTAAGTAAAAAGTTACTATTTTTAGGCCATCAGTCAAACGACTTTTGATCAGCTTTCGTTTACATGCGAACACAACCACATAGCTGAGTCTCGGATCCTCAGACTACTTGATTGCCATTAAAAACACGGCTCGAACAACCTATTTTAACATGTTTTTGTGTGACAGTTCTATCTTAAATCCATTGAAGATGGATTGACTCTTTCCTCTTTCTAGCTACTCATATTCTAAAATATCAAAATATACCGGTGTTAATTTAAAGTTTCACGACATCCAAGTAGCTATACAGTCAGTTTTATACAGTCCCTTCACATAAAACAGTCTCTGGGGGACCAAGCCTCCGCTCCCGTGATATTCCTGCGGTAACGCTCTTATCTCTTCCAATTTGCGTCCCGGGAGGGTTCCGTGGAATATTTCTTCCCCACCGAAGCTTCCTTCTCCACTAATATCCGCTGATAAGGGTCTTATCGTGCGTTGTTGCCACGCTAAGAGGCTTCGTGTTTTTCGTCTCTTGTGCGACCGTTTTTCACACTATTTTGCGTTGTTCTCTTTTTCGTCGTTTTTCGTCAAAATGGCCGTCTTTTTGTATTTCTCAGAAATATTCACTTTTCAATCGAAATTTTAAAAATAAAAATTCTAGAATATTCCTACCCTCCTTCGCAATACTTTTTCGTTAATAAGGCCTTTATTCGTTTTTTCTCGTGTCACCGGAAGGTTGCGCTGTGCCATCTGGCAGAATGGCACAATGAGGAGTTCTTCTTTTGTTTTTTTATTTTTATTTTGGGGCATATTTTTCGAAATTGTGTTAAAATTGAATTATACTGTGTACTAGTAGTCGGTCCCAAAAAACAAAGTTCACACTTTCTAAAGGTTTTTGATAAATCGCCTTGTATTGCGCGGGACTCTTTGTACAACAAATCAATGTCACCATCTCTCCACCATGCTAAACGCTTCTCTAGATTTCACGTACAATTCACAAAATACACAGCTTGGCCTCGTTATGTATTTTGTTCTGCTAAGTATCACGCCATAAGAAAAAAAACATATTTAATTGATATTCTTTATTACTTCCATATCTAGAAAACTCCAAGGATTTTGACTGGAATACGTGATGAAAGGACTTCTCACTGTAACCTCGGTTACTTCTGACCTTCTGATTACCTTCACAAAAAAAACTTAAAAAAATAAAAAGTTACACATCGTCAATTTTTTTTCAGACGAGCAATGGGAGGGGAGCAGAGTACAAGCGGAAAAGTGGTTGGATATCATGTTCTTCGTGTAAATAATCATCTCTCTATAGACATGAATAATTGAAAAGGGTTATGTTGATTGGTTTTGTTTATTTTTCTAGGTACAACAGAACTCTCCTGCATCTAAAGCTGGACTTGAGGCATTTTTTGATTTTATTGTAACTATTGGCAATAGCAGATTGGTGAGATTTTGTAACATATTATTATTGCTCTCATTTTCACCTCTTCTTTTTTCAAAGGCTTGATAGTTGTTACAGAATCGCGACAATGAAAACCTGAAAGAGATTTTAAGAAATCATGCTGAGCATCCCGTTACAATGGGCGTTTACAGTAGCAAGACTCAGGACTTGCGAGAAATAACAATTACCCCTAGCGCACTTTGGGGTGGTCAAGGATTACTGGGAGTCAGTATTAGATTCTGTTCCTTTGAAAATGCAAATGAAAACGTGTGGCACGTTGTAGTAAGTATATTCACACATATACAAATTTAGAAATGAAACAAGACAGAGTTGATGAAATTGGGTTTGGATCTCTCTTTTAGATCTAATTTACCCTCAATTGCATATTTTGCGTTTCGCTTTAGATTGGATATTAAAATTGCATGTGTAATAATACCAGGCATCAAGAATGAATTTTTCAGAAGTTGTAACTACATGTCAATGAACGTAGTCAAGACACTTATATAGGTCGTGTTTATGACTCGTGTTAGGTCTCATATCTATCTACTATATATTTAAATGCGGGCTTCACTATCTCGCCATGTTTAAGCTTTTTCAACGTATTATTTTTGCATGTTTAAGCTATATCGTATATTGCAATGGTTAAGAATTTTTTTCAATTTTCCAATTTGATTTTAGTGGTTATTTTACCGAGTTTAAGTTAAGCAGCCCAATATCGAATTAGGGGTTGCGAATTTGGCCTCCAATTTTGAATGCCCGAATCATTTTAGTTAACGAGATAAGACGATTTTTGAGATTTTTTCAAAAATGTTCAGAAATTTCAAATAACAAAATAATTTACAAAACTTGAAGTTCACAACCCTGTAGTTGGGTGCTGTCGGAGTACTCTAAGGAGTTAAAAATCTTGCCTCCAAATATGACTGTTCAAATCACTGTAGTTTTCGAGATGACGTTTTTTGTGATTTTTTCAAAAAAATTTCAGAAAACTTATGCTAATTTTTTTTTCGCAAAATCTGAAATTCCCAACCCTTTAGTTGGGTCCTGTCAGAGTAATCTCAAAGATTGCGAATCTTGCCTCCAAATATGACTGCTCAAGTGTAGTTTTCGAGATATGACGTTTTGTGATTTTTTCAAAATTTTTCTGAAAACTTAAATTATTATTAAGTTTTAAAAATTTGAAATTCACAACCCTGTAGTTAGGTCCTGTCGGAGTACTCTAAGGAGTTACAAATCTTGCCTCCAAATATAACTGTTCAAATCTTTGTAGTTTTCGAGATATGACGTTTTTTGCGATTTCTTCAAAATTTTCAGAAAAATTGAATTATTTTTTTTTCTTTAAAAATCTGAAATTCCCAACCCTGTAGTTAGGTCCTGTCAGAGTACTCTCAAGTATTGCAAATCTTGCCTCCAAATATGACTGCTCAATTCTTTGTAGTTTTCGAGATATGACTTTTTTTGTGATTTTTTCAAAATTTTTCAGAAAACCTAAATTATTATCAAATCTCAAATCTTGCCTCGTAATATAAATGCTCAAATCTTTCCGAGATAAGACGTTTTTTTTTTCAATTTTTTTTCCGGGAATCTTATGTTTAAAAAATTCATAAAATTTTGGATTCCTAACCCTATAGTAGGGTGCTCTCAGGGAGTCTCAGTGGTTGCAAATCTGGCTTCCAAATTTCTCCAGAGGCCCATTAAGTTTTCGAGAAGACGCTTTTAAAATGGGAATTTAAAAAAGTTTAAAGTTCGAAATTGCCAAATCTGGGTGCAGTCACAGTACACTAAAAGTTTGCAGATGTTGTTTCCAATAATTGCGGTTTTTTTCATTAGTTGTCGAAAAATTTCGAAGCACCGAAGGTGCGTTAATTGCTAGTATAACTTTATTTTATTCCAACCTAACTCGTTAATTAAAGTGCTCATTTAAGGGCGATTTTGCTATAATAATGATCAATAGCCTTGGAAATTTCATAGCATCTAATCTGCTAATTGGTGGCTTGTGTTTGCCTCAGTCAAGCGTCCGTGGCTCAGAGGGCAGGACGTGAGGTTCTTAAGCTAGTTGTCGGAAGTTCATCGCCGCTTTTAGCTATAGTTTTATCTATATTTGGTGGTATTTTTGCTGCATTAGAAGGCTCTAACTACGACGGCGGAAACAGCGCATTTAACGTGAACGGTTTTCACGTTTCGAAATTGACGGTATTTAATTTCAACCCAGTGATATAGTTCTCTCAATTGAATAATTATATCAAAAAAGTAAAAATGTCGATCATAAAAGATTTTTTAAATTCAAAGAGCTTTAATGCCTTCTTTTTCTTTGAAATTATTAAGTTCTCAAAAATTTCAATCTTTTCTTAATTTTATTGAATTTGTGTTTATTGATTTTATCCCCAACTATCTCTTGGCTATGTTTTTTTTTGTGAGATCTTTTTACATAATTGAATGAGACGGTAAAAGATTCCCACGAACAGTACAATTTACACAAGCAAACGATTGTTAGACTACCAATTTGCTCCTTCCAACCTAACTCGCACAATTCATGCTCAAGTTTTGTGTTCAGTTTCAGTATATGCCTTCAAATTATACTGCATTAATTTTTAGTCTAAACCGTTTATGTTATTGCATTCATTGCTCCGTAGTTTTTTTTTAAAAGAGCGTGTGTTAACTAGCTAAGACAGCTGTCTTTATAAATTTTTTCTTTTTTAAAGTTTTGCCGTTTTTTTGTTTGCTTACGATCTTTAGTGATCAGAATATTTCATGACAACTATTTTGTTTTTCGCTCATCTGGTGTAGATATTGTTTTTCCGACGTTTTTCGTCTTACATTATGCCCGCTTGCTTAAAATGTCATGTTTGCGCGATGTCGCATTAAGTGTAAAGCTCTGCTTCACCTCTGAGGTGTGAAAAAACAAAATGTAGATCCCGCTTTCTCGGTTAGGCTTATTTTTCGGTAAGAACTTGCAAATATGACTTTATCGAAATAAAATCTCAGGTGATAAAAGTTTTTAAAAATAGTTATCAACTGAGCTCTTATTTCAGTAAAGTCATGATTTGCTTTTTACACAAAGAAATAAGCACAATAGATAAAACAGCATCAACATACTTTTTTTTCACCGCTGGGAAATTGGACAGATGAAGCTGAGAAAATAGGCATTTAAAGCTAGCGGGCAGAAAATGACGAAAGCTTAGGAAAAACAACATCTATGTCTTTCTCAAATAATCATTTCGATGTCGTCTTCTAATTGTGCTGGTTTTTTTAGTTTGATTTACGATTCTAGTACAATCTATATAATATTTAACGTTTGATCGAGAAGACATTTCCAGCGACGTTTAAGCCAAGTATACATGTTTAAGAGTTAAACGACATCTCTATATTTCCTAGCTACTGTCCGTAATTACATAGCTATGCTGTGCAAATAGGTTCAAGCGCTACTGCTAGCCTGCGGATTTTCACCTAGCATCGGTTTTGCGCCTAATCGCATAGGTTTTCAACCATGCATGTTTGAACTAAATCATGCTTTGCTGTTTTTTCACTTTTTAAATTTTAAGTCACTTTAAAAAATCAAATCAATGCTATTTAGGGTTTGTTTATTCTTGGTTATACTTTTTTGATAATAGGCTCCATTTTGAGCTATGCTTTCTTTCATTGTTACCTTGATCTTGGACTTCTGTTTTGGAAACTGAAGTCTCTCATTTGAAGCTAGCTTAATGTGAACAATTTCAAGTAGGTTAAATAAATCGGCTACGAGGGCCTACGACTTCAGACCAAAAGGGTAAGTGCGTAGAGGAGTTTCGGCAGCAAAATAATTGCTGATACCAATTTTAAACATGTTTGATTGACAGCGCAGGACCAAGCAAGGATGTGTACTGTTATTGGTAGCCTTCTGTTTAAAGAGTTTGAAATTATATTTAGTAATGCGATTGATTGTTTTCATAAATTAATTCTTCATATACTTTTTCGCCAAAAATCTATGCAAGGATAGGTGAGCGCTTCACTTTGTCCCACTTAATGATATCAATTTGAGATCAAAAATTGTTTTTTTTTTGGTTTTGTGGTTAGTGATTTGCATTCTTGGTTTTTTGTTGAAAAAACTTCGTACCTTTTTGTTCTTTTTGATTCAACGAACTGCTCTGCAGTGATTTTTTCTTTTAAGTTTATGTAATTTCGATAAAGTTAATCATTGATTTGTTTGATTTTTTATTATTTTAAAGAGTTGCTGTGATTTTACTTTTTGTTTTATGAAAATTTCCCGAGTGGTTTTGTCCGTTATTTTTGCTTTAGTTTTTTCCTTTTTTAAATTTTTTCTAAGCAACCATATGACGTTGTTTTTTGTTGTTTTCTAGATAATTTACCTCAGTTATCATTTAAAAAAATAATTCGTAACTTTTAAAAGCCTTTATTTCGAAGAAATCGAACTTTCAATTGAGTTTTTTTGATATTTTCAATGGTTTCCTCTACGGTTGAAATGGCTTAATTTTTAATTCCTCATTTGTTTTGTTTCAAAGTTGTCAAATTGTAAATGAAGATTTCTAAAGCACTATTCTTTTTCTGCTGAGTAATTTTTTTTTCCACAAAAGTTTCACAGTTATTCGATCCTTTTTCATTTTTTATAATCGTTGCAATGATTTGTTTCTTGTTTTAGTTTTTTTTGGTGACAAATTTACAGAGATTTTATACTGTCCACTCTTCAATAAACAAGTACTGATTTTTTAAATACCATGTCAGTTTAATAAAGTTTTCCACTTTTATTTTTTCTGTGATGTTTTCCTTTTATTGTAAGAAAAAACATTGCAGTTATTTCTTGTTTTTTTTTTCACTATATAAGGTGTGCAGTCTTTTGCTGTTTAACAATTTTTTAATGCAGCCATTGATTGCTTTTCGTTTTTTTTATCCTTGAGTTGAGTGTTGGTTGATAGCTTTATCTTTATGATCCTCTGTTTCTTTGAATGGGCTTGATTCATAAAAGATTATAAAAATTTCATAAAAAATTGCTCGGTACTTTTCTTTTTCGTAAAAAGTTATGCCTTAGGTGCATAACGACACCCGATGCATGGTTCGGTTTTGGAGCAAAATCAAGTTTTTGTTTTTTAGAATCAATTTGCAAATCTAGGTTTGTTTGATCTTCTAATGATGTATTGAGTGCGCATTTGTTTTGTCTTATGATTTAAACTTGGAGAAACAAAAACTGAAACTCGATCAGTTTTGGGAAAATTCACTTAAATGATCTGTTTAAGAAAATTCATTGAGAAAATATAAAACAAATATAAATTGAACTTTCTCAATGAATTTTCTTAAAAATATAAGATATTTTTAAGAAAATTCATTGAGAAAGTTCAATTTATATTTGTTTTATATTTGAATCCTGATCAATTGCCCTATTTTATCATAATTTGTTTCGTTCTATGATTTGAACTATGAAAAACAAGAACTGAAACTCGATCCGTTTTGGGAAAACTCACTTAAATGATCTTTTTAAGAAAGTTCATCGAGAAAGTCCAATTTATATTTGAATCTTGATCAATTGCCCTATCTTATCATAATTTGTTTCGTTCTATGATTTAAACTATGAAAAAATAGGAACTGAAACTTGATCCGTTTTGGGAAAACTCACTTAAATGATCTTTTTAAGAAAATGCTCTGAGAAAATTCAATTTATATTTGAATCCTGATCAATTGCCCTATCTTATCATAATTTGTTTTGTTCTATGATTTAAACTATGAAAAAACAAGAACTGAAAATCGATCCGTTTTTAGAAAACTCACTAAAATGATCTTTGTAAGAAAGTTCATCGAGAAAATCCAATTTATAATTGAATCCTGATCAATTGCCCTATCTTATCATAATTTGTTTCGTTCTATGATTCAAACTATGAAAAAACAAGAACTGAAACTCGATCCGTTTTGGGAAAACTCACTTAGATGATCTTTTAAAGAAAATTCATTGAGAAAATATAAAACAAATATAAATTGAACTTTCTCAATGAATTTTCTTAAAAATATAAGATATTTTTAAGAAAATTCATTGAGAAAGTTCAATTTATATTTGTTTTATATTTGAATCCTGATCAATTGCCCTATTTTATCATAATTTGTTTCGTTCTATGATTTGAACTATGAAAAACAAGAACTGAAACTCGATCCGTTTTGGGAAAACTCACTTAAATGATCTTTTTAAGAAAGTTCATCGAGAAAGTCCAATTTATATTTGAATCCTGATCAATTGCCCTATCTTATCATAATTTGTTTCGTTCTATGATTTAAACTATGAAAAAATAGGAACTGAAACTTGATCCGTTTTGGGAAAACTCACTTAAATGATCTTTTTAAGAAAATGCTCTGAGAAAATTCAATTTATATTTGAATCCTGATCAATTGCCCTATCTTATCATAATTTGTTTTGTTCTATGATTTAAACTATGAAAAAACAAGAACTGAAAATCGATCCGTTTTTACAAAACTCACTAAAATGATCTTTGTAAGAAAGTTCATCGAGAAAATCCAATTTATAATTGAATCCTGATCAATTGCCCTATCTTATCATCATTTGTTTCGTTCTATGATTCAAACTATGAAAAAACAAGAACTGAAACTCGATCCGTTTTGGGAAAACTCACTTAGATGATCTTTTTAAGAAAGTTCATCGAGAAAATCCAATTTTTATTTGAATCCTGATCAATTGCCCTATCTTATCATAATTTGTTTCGTTCTATGATTTAAACTATGAAAAAACAGGAACTGAAACTTGATCCGTTTTGGGAAAACTCACTTAAATGATCTTTTTAAGAAAGTTCATCGAGAAAATCCAATTTATATTTGAATCCTGATCAATTGCCCTATCTTATCATAATTTGTTTCGTTCTATGATTTGAACTATGAAAAATAAGAATTGAAACTCGATCAGTTTTGGGAAAATCACTTAAATGATCTTTTTCAGAAAATTCATTGAGAAAATTCAATTTATGTTTGAATCCTGATCAATTGACCTATCTTATCATAATTTGTTTCGTTCTATGATTTGAACTATGAAAAACTAAGAACTGAAACTCGATCAGTTTTGGGAAAATCACTTAAATGATCTTTTTAAGAAGATGCATTGAGAAAATTCAATTTATATTCGAATACTGATCGATTACCCTATCTTATCATAATTTGAAGCGCTGAATTAACCTTATCTCTCAGTAATCAATTTGACTCACAGAAATGACGCCCGCTGCTTTCTTCATTTTGGAAAAAATTATGCTAATTGAGTTTTGATATATCAGCTTATTCTTATGTTGCTCTGTATTGTTAGACATGCCTAGTGTCTAATTCACTATTTTAAATAATATTTCAAACTTGACTTTCTCGAAAGTTCGAATTTATGAAATTTGGGAGATATAATTGTAATTTTTAACAAAAATTAGGGTATTTTATTGCGTTTTTTTATTGTTTTTTAAAGTTTCGTTTGACTAATTTTCTACTTCTCAGTGTTTTGCACTCTGCATGGGACTTTGTCACGAGCTTCCTGTTATAGCTTCTTTTGATTCGAAAGTAGTTTTGATTCGAAATCACAAATTCATGTTCACTTTTCAATATATATTTTTTCTGTTTATAATTTGATGGCTTGCGATACTCATTTAGAATGTAGAAATTTCTGCTCTGTATCGTTAGTTTTTTTAAAATTCATTTGTTCGTTTTTTTTCTGGCCAGGGAAGTGTGCTAGAGAAGTGATGGATCGTGTCTAGTCTTTAAAGGGATCTGAAAAAAAAAGATATATGTTTTGATTTGGCCATTTTCGATGCCTCAGTGCTTCTTAGCTGCTTCACATCGAGCCGAAAATTAATTTATTGGATAAACAATAATTGCCCTTCACGCGAGTTGAAGTAATGAGGGCTTTTCGTCTGATAGAGGAACCGAATTTCTTTTTCAACAAAGCTATCTACATAAAACCGAAGTTCATAGTAATAACGTTAAAGAGTAATAACCGAAATTAAAGAGTAATAAATCAGTCCGATATGGTTCTCTTCTTGGATTGTATCGATTTTTCTTTTATTCTTTTCGATTTATTTAATGACGCCTGCGATTGGCAAGCGTTATCCAATCGGAACATATTTCATCAGGATAACAATTTGTTTAACAAGCAAATAATTTTTCTGCCCATTTTGTGATATTGTCATCAACAGGCATATTTTGAGCATATCTGCTAGCTTCACTTCCCCGCTGTGCGTTATTTCATTCCTGGTTTTCATTCCTGGTTTTATCTCTATATTTTGAGGTTTTTTCCTGTTTATGTCATAATTACTTAGCGATTTCTCTTTTTATTTAGGTTTTCTGTTCGTGGACTCAAAATTTTGAGTTATACTTTTTTGCTCGCTTTTCTTTCTTTTTCAAACGAGCTCAATTGTCTCTTTCGAGACGAATTTTATTTCTTTGTTTGACTTTGACATCATTTGAAGCTTCATTTCTCATTTCATTTCAAATTAGAGCTGAAGTGACGCTCTCATTCAAAAAGAGTGTAAATCGTGTTTCTTATTTGAATCAAATATATTGTGATGTAATTTTCTTCAGAGCTCTTTTCGTTCTTTGGTATGAAATTCTTCACTTTGTTTTGTTTGTCCATTGAAGGATTTGAAGCTGAATTCTCCTGCTCAATTAGCTGGACTTCAATCCGACACGGATTATATAATTGGATCTGACACTTTGCTTCATGAAGTGAGTTTATCATTCTACAAATCGCTATTGTTTCATTTAAAAATCACTATGCTCAAAGAAAGTTGTTTTTAGCCGGATGACATGTATACGCTGATTGAATCGAGCGACAGAAAACCACTAAATTTCTTTGTTTATAACTCAGATGCTGACGCGTGTCGAGAAATAACCATCACCCCAAACAGTGCTTGGGGTGGGGAAGGAATGTAAGCCTAATTAATTTGAAAATTAAAACAAGTATATTCGAAATTTTCAAAGCACGAAACATTGACTTTATATAGGCTTGGATGTGGTCTAGCTCATGGATATTTACATCGCATACCTCTGAATCGCCAGTTTCCGAAAAGTGTCCAAATTGCAGACGGCCAGGAAAACGTGCAAAATGGGTCAGAAGCTTATCCTGAAGCAGGGTCTCTGGTTCCACCTCAGCCTCAGAAAGATCAAAACAACGCCACTATAGAAATGAACGGATATCAAAATGTGCCTCTGACCGATGGTTAGCTTTTCAAATTTTATATTGACCACAATCACAACAGATTTATTCTTGACCCTAAGGATTCAATATCTAAATGATTTAAATTTTTGCACTGTCAGAGCTTTTCGGAATCTGCAAGATCTTTCTATTCAGGTGCTCCTCAACCTCCTCTGTTTTCGCAATTGCCCTCGATACCTCCATTCCCGGCCCCGCCCTCAATTAACCCAGACCTTCTGACCGGATTTCCAAACATGCCTCCAGTATCTCAACCCGCAGCAACTGAACAACAAGCAGTGTCCTCCACTCCTAAAACAGATCAAACTTCAGCGTCTGCCTACCAATCACAAGCACCGGTGAGTTACACTCCTACGTCAGCGCAACAATACCAACAGCAGCCAACCAGTATGACGAATACTCCTCCAAAACCGGAATCGGTAACACCTTCGGCGCCTATGATGCCTCCGACCATTGACTTCTCAAAACTACCGCCTCTGAATTTTCCACCAGGAATGAATCCGCCGCCGATGTTTTCGATGAACAACCCGAACATTCCCCATCTGATGACTACGATGCAGGCCAAGTTAGTTAAATTTACCCCGCTTATAAAGTGTTTTTGTGAACAAACAAGAAAATATTAAAGGTAGATCCCGGTTACTGTTATGTCATCAGGATTACTTATATGTAATTTTTCCCAAAATTGAAACAAGTCGATTAAATTTGATTAACTTGGTAAAATTAAAGTATCATCAAAATACAATCAATTAAACAGGCGTTGGTTTTTCTCGGTAATTTGATGCAGTATTAAATGGTTGTATGACGTGTTTAGTTCGAACCAGTCGGGCATGATGAAACCACCTCCAATGCCTAACTTCATGACAGCTCCTCCAATGCCTGGATTCCCACCAGTCAGTATCCCGGGAGCCTCGTCTGATCAACATATGCAGCAGCCTCAATACTACATGGGTGCTCCGCCAGTGAGTATTCAACGCTTTCGTTTTGTAAACAATTTGGTTATCGATTACCTCCATCTCGAAACTCGATCATAGACAGTTTTTTTTACTATTAGCGAAAGCAAGATTGTAATTATGCGAATTACTGCACAGTCATCGTTTTTTGAAAGTTGAATATTGTCTATTTTTCGCATGTTATTTTTGAAAAAAAATATTTTTTTAATTTCGGCTAAATAAAATTGTCGAAAGTGTTGATGCGTCAACAAACGATGAGCAGACACTTCAGTTTTCTTTTCATTATTTTTAGGGCAAATTCTCAGTTTCACGCTCAGATGTTTTTCGTGCATTGACTTTAAAAATCATTTCAAAAGTTGTTGATAAATAGAAAGAAAATTGATCTCTCCAATTGATAAAGTGAACAAGTAAAGGCGGTTAATAAGCTACTAGCACAGAAAGTTACGATCAGTTATTTTTGAAACATTGAAAAATTATAATTTTTTTTCAAACTGAGTCGCGTTTTAATGCATTGTTTGAAGAGATAAATTGAAACTTCCCTACTTTTTTAAAGGAGTTTTATCTAGCTAACGTTATCTAGTGAAAATCAAAACAAAATATTGTCATTTTATATTGAGACATTTTCAAAGATTTTGCAACAACAAAAAGTGTCAATCAAAAGATTCTTGAAATTGAAAGAGCTTTAAAACGATATCTTTCTTTCGTTGAAGCGCAATATTGAACATTTCATAGTAAAAGTCAATCAATTTTCTTGCGATTTTTTGTAACTTTTTGTTGGTGAGTTAAGTATGCACTAGCTAGACAAATTATGCATACTTGTGTTGTATTCTTAGATGAGTGGTATTTTTGCACCCATCCCTCCACCTTCAATGTCATCCTCGTCGTCTGGGGGAGGAGTATCATCCACTCGTCCTCAACCCCCGCCAATGGCATCAGAGTTCACACAGCAATACGCAACAGCAAAATGAAGATTGAAGTTATTTGCGAGTTATGAAACAGACTGCGATATTTAAAACTAGTTTTCAGGTCGAAGACGTTATATTAAAGTGGGGAGTTGATAGTTTGGTTTTCGAGTTATTGCAAATTGCTCGTGGTCAGGTAAAGTTGAACGTTTTGATTAGTTCGCTGTTATATTGGTTCGGAAAACGAAGCTCAAGACGTGCGCTTGAAAATATAAGTTTTGCATTTAAAACGACCTGAGCTAAAATGCAACTTTTATGATGATGTGAAGTGTACGGTAATAAATTAACCCTCAAATTAATTTAAAAGTATGTACAGCTTCATAGATCATTTCAATTAATATGACGCAATTTGTGCAGTTCCTTATTTTGGTCAATTAAGCTGCGAAGAACAAAATCATCATTGAACGTATTAAAGGAAGTTATTTGGCTATTTCGCATATCTCCAATCATTTAAATGTTAATATGGTGTAAAATACTATATAGTTCAAAATCGTGCTGTTTCAAAATGCATTTTAATTGTAAAATAAATCTTATATTGTCATTGATATGCAGTTGTTGTCCTCTTTGGAGTGTGGGAATTAACGATTGTTGTTGGACAGTTCAACAGTTTCTCGAGCGCGAGTTTGGACGCTGCTGAACATCGAGCTTTGACACCGACCACCGACTGAAATGGGGTATTTTAAGTTTTGGGGCACAAGTTTGATTTTTTTTGATATCTACACAAACGATAGCCAGTGTTATGTAATCGGTAGACTTTTCCACTAAACAATGTTCTACTGCTTCAATGTTTTTAAATTTTCTGAAAAAAATTACACGAGCGTAATAAAATAAAACATCGCGTGGCCTTAACATCGCGTGTTCGATACGCTTCATTGGTAGCAATCTCCGGCTTGGGAGTTTGATTCTGACAGATGCCAAGTTTTTAGATTTCAAAACTTGTTTTTGCCTTAGCTTTGTTGCCCGTTTGGGGCAACTTGTTGCCGGTTTCTCGCTTGTGTTCACGAAGTGCATCTTTGCCTCGTAAAAGCTAACTCTGATTTGATGAAATTATTTAAGAGGAGGACTTGTATATCGCTAATATCCCTCAAACGGGGCTGCTTAAAAGATGAAATTTTATTTTTCCAAGTGCATGTAGTTGAAATCAAACGTTGGTGGCTATCCAAAATCTCAAAAACTTTACCTGGTTTATAGAATTAGATAACATTTTCAATTTTTACTTCTAACCTTCCTAAAAATTCCACTAGTGCAGAAAGTTTTCTAACTGGATCTGAATAGTGTAATGGGAGAGCTCAAAATCACTTCCACCGGGAACGTCTGAAATCCGCCCATGAGTATCAAGACAATGGTTATCTTGTGTCCAGCATTTCTAGAAGTGATAAGGAACTAAGGCGTGAGTTGTGTCTTTTTTTTGCGGATTTTGACTACCTCAGAGAAAGCTCATGTAGGGGTCAATATAGCATCATATCACAACTTTCCGTGTAATTTGCGGAAAAATTGGAAACATAAGCTTAATATTTTCAGTTGTAACAAGGTTGTTCAAAGTTCAAATCAGGACAATATGCTGAGTGTTCCGAATGCCATTGAACGTTTCTGGATTAGTTTGTAATAGAAGGATTGAGGCGTTCAATTTTACAATTGGAACAAGAATTTTCAAAATCAAGTCAAATCGCTGAATGTTCCGAATGCACATAAACGGTTATTGATTATTGTTTGATCAGCAAGTGATGAAAATTTCATGAAAACTGGAGAAATTCCTAAGACTTTAAAGCCATCTCCCGCCCTATTTGAAGTAACAAATGATATTTTCATCATCGAGTAAACTACGAATTACACGCGCTTGTGTAGGTTATAAAACGCTACAACTTTTCCAACCTAAGTCGCAAATAAAAGTGCTAGTATTGGTGGCAATTTTGAATGAGTAGGCTGAACTGGCAGTAAACTTACTTGTGCTTTGACATGATTATTAGAAAGTTAACACAGTTGATAATTTGTTTTAAATCCTGGATTGAAACCAAAAAGCTTTATTCATAATAATTAAAATCCCATTTCAGAAACTTTCCAACTCGATATACTTCGCGAAATTTTTTAAATGCTTAATTTATACGCAAAATGTTTCAATACATTATGACGCTTGCCATTAGCAAGCGTTATCAAATCGTAATGCAGACTTTTTTCGAGTTTATAAAAAGTTTTAAAAAATCAGGTTAATCTTTTCTGTTGCTGTCATGCTGCTGACATGCTCGATTTCATGAAAATTCAAACCTAACTACCGGTTACTAGCTACTACTCATGCGATATCTAGAATCTCAAACATTGAACGTATAATTATGGAGTTTTAATAATATTTTTCTAATGATGGTTTTTCGGCTTCATAGTTGTGTATATTTCGTGTTAACAACGCGTAAGCGGAGATTCAATACAGTTTTAAAATTGTTCCAGTTTTAATTGAAGCGAGCAATTTGGTCTTTTTAATACTTCACTATAAGTAAAATTTATCACTTTGTACTTTGAATAGCGTGTGGGTTGATATTTTTTTTTAATTTGAGAAAAAGTTTCACATTTTTTTTTGCTTTTTGAAATTTTCACCCAATTGTTTAAAGCAAACAAACTTTAAATTTTTTGAGGTTTTGTTGAAAATCATCGCCTCTACTCTATTTTATGTTTGGCTATCTTTAAGCCGCTATAACTTCACGGAATATGATCACAGGTAAATTAATAATTTTTTTTAAATTTTGAGCTCAGGACTACAAGATCTTTTGAATGGTATAAAAAAGACCGTAAAAATTGCTAGTTAAAAAGTCTAAATTTGACTGGAAAAAAAGTACTCCGAGTATAATTAGTCCTTCATTTTCTACAAAGATAGTCGAAACAAAAATAGGCGGTTTTTTCGAATATTGAGCATGATACAGATAAAACAAGACTGCTCGTATGAGGGTGCATCATGGATTGGTCTGATTGCCATTTTTGAGTGTTTCAACCAATTTTTGGTAGTCAAGTGAAAAAATCTTCCTTCGCGATATGCCAATTGCTAAAGATAAATTTTGCGGATATTTAATAACAAACAGATAATGGATCTATTAGATAACCTACATTTATTTCGGTATTACTTGGTTTTTGACTTTACCAACCATTTGTCCTGAGAAACAACGGCACAACCTAAATAAACCTTACTTTTGCTTAAATCTGTCGTTTTCCTTTAATAGATGGAACAATTGTAGTTCAGATTAAATTAAAAGATTGTGTACTTTTCCTCTAACTGGATGTGGGCAATTAAAAAAGCCGGCAGATAGGAAATTTATTGTTTAAGAATATAACACTCGATTACTTTCGGCATCGCCTGTGCTTTTCATTTAGAATTCTTGCAACGATTGGTCGTTAAAAATTTCCTTGAAATTGGTTTGTTCCTATGAGCTGAATTATTACGACGTGTTTGAAGATTGAAACTACACTTAGTTTTACTGAGTTTCATATTTTTTTTAACACATGTGATTTGGATTCAGTTATCGATAAAGCCAGCTAATATATCGTAGTTTTTAAATACTGAACGATCTTATGGCCTCTAAGTCATTTTAAGCACTATCAAAAAATAACTATACAAAAACTGCACTCTGATATCAGTCTTTTTAGATGTATAAGTCAGTCATAGCATCACGAAGTCAAAACAAATGTCTATTTTAAGAATTATGTGTGATCATTTTCTCACATGGTTCTCATTCTCGATTTAATTCATTTTTGATTCTGCGAGCTTTTGTGAATCACTAGGACCAATAATGTTAATTTTCTCTATTTTCTGGTACATTTTTATGACATCCATTTTGGCCGACTGACCGCAAAAGTTGTCTAAGGGCGCCCTCGTCGCCAATATATTCGAATTAGTAATTAACACAATTGGTACTTATTTACTTTATCGGTTGAACCGAAAAGGTTATTTTTTCGTACAACTATATAATAATCTCGCGCCAAAAAAAACGAGATTTGTAGTTGAGCACTTTAGAAACACAGTACACAGTGCCGAAGAAACACAGTGAGCAATTTTGAGATAAGTTTACTTACAAAAAACCGTGCCTTACCAGAATCTTCCAAGATGTGTCTACAAATATCATTTTTTGGACTTTTTTGTGTTTTGAGAGAGCTCGAAAATTCAATCTTACAATTTTTAGTCATCTTTTTTGTTCCTTTGTTGTTGTGGAATATTTGTGCTCGGGGTGGGTTTTTTTTTGTTCAGACAAATTTCGACTTTTCAACTAGCCGTTGTTGAAGGAGTTTTTTTTATATCATTCGAAAGCTATTGTTGTCCTGAGCTCAAATTTGAAAAGATAATTCGCCTGTGATTATTTTTCGTAAAGTTACGGGGGTTTAAGGATTGCCATTTTGGCCAATTTGCGACAATTAACGCGCGATATATTTCGCGCTTTTAACGCGTAAGCGGAGAGTTAATCCGTCTTAGTTAATCCGTCTTATTTGCCATAAATGATTTGTTACAAGAAGCGAAATCTATCCTTTTGTGTTTTATATGGCGTGTGGGGGGATGATTTTCATAAAAATTTTCAAATTTTAGAAAAGAAAATTCCGTTTTGTTTTATTTCGTTTAATTTTTAAATGTTATTACTGCTCCAAAAAACCTTAAAAGGCAGCCGGAACATTCAGGGCTTCGCCCTGATACGAGCAGTCTTGTCTTAGTTTTGCTAAAATAAATGTTTACGCAAAGCTTTTTCAGAATAGCGTTCTGCTAAAAATATTTGGCTCTATTTTTTTGAAGAGAGAAAAGATACCCAGCATTAAATTTTAAAGACTGCATTGGTTCGATCGGCAACTGAGCAAATACAGTGTCATGTAGAAATCAAAAATTAGTGAACGTTTTTTTTCTCATTAACTTTCCAAGTGAAACCCTTGAGCCTAACTTTGATTGAATACAAAAAAAGTTGCATTACTTAGTCAAAACCAACAGACATAACAACACCCCATGAATTTCACGAAACAGTAGCAACCAGTTCTTTTCGTTGGCCTAGATTGTGCTGGGACCTGCGAAAATTGCCTGGAATATCCCCCAGGAGCAATCTTTTTTGCACCCCGTCCTGAAAAAACTCATCTCGAAGAAATAGTGCAAGAAATCGATGGACTCCCGGTTTGACAAAATATCAAAACAGACGTCACACCATGAGAAAAATTGATCTATAGAACCAACAAAACAACGCCTTTTTCACAAATGATCCAACATGTGCAAAAAAGCAAAACTTGAAATTGGCAAATGTCTACAACACTCCTTAAAATAGTTTTTAAAAGAATCGAGCTGCTCTCAAGATGTGTTAACCGGCAGGAGCTTCAAAACTTTTGTGTTCGTCAAATAAATATTTCCCTAGCAAGATAAAAACTGAAAGCACATCGATAATTACTGAACTTGACTAAAACCAAATCAAAACATCTACAAAATTTACACGCATCAAAAATTAGATATTACAGGCAGGATTGCGAGCTTAATTTTTGTGAAAAAAAAAACATTATTGCTAGAACACAAAGAACAACAAGACTGCTCGTATCAAAGCGAAGCCCTGAATGTTCCGACTGCTTTTGAAGGTTTATGGAGCAGCAGTAATAACATAAAAACATTATATGAAATAAAATAAAATGAAAAAAAATTTTCCTAAAATTGGAAATTTTTAATGAAAATCATCCCCCCACACGCCATATAAAGTACAAACTGATAATTTTCGTTCCTTGCAACACATCAATTATGGCAAATAAGCTTCGTTCAACCAATTTGGAATGATTTATAAGACGGATTAAATCTCCGCTTACGCGTTAATAGCGCGAATTATATCGCGCGTTAATTGTCCCAAATTGGTCAAAATGGCAATCTTTAAACCCTCATAACTTTACGAAAAATGATTACAGGTGAAATATCTTTTCAAATTTGAGCTCAGGACAACAATACCTTTCGAATGATATAAGAAAATTCCGTCGAAAATGGCTAGTTAAAAAGTCGAAATTTGTCTGAAGAAAAAAACCCCACCCCGAGCACAAATATTCCGTTACTTTTGTATCGAAAGTCGGAACAATGAAATTTTTTTTCTTCTTAAATTTGAAATTTTTTATAAAAATCATCCCCCCACACGCCATATAAAGTGCAAAAAGATAGATTTTGTTCCTTGTAACAAATCAATTATGGCAAATAAGCTTCGTTCAACTAATTTGGAACGATTTATAAGACGGATTAAATCTCCGCTTACGCGTTAATAGCGCGAATTGTATTGCGCGTTAATTGTCCCAAATTGGTCAAAATGGCCAAAATGGCAATCTTTAAACCCTCATAACTTTACGAAAAATGATCACAGGTGAAATATCTTTTCAAATTTAAGCTCGAATGATATAAGAAAATTCCGTCAAAAATGGCTAGTTAAAAAGTCGAAATTTGTCTGAAGAAAAAAAAAACCCACCCCGAGCACAAATATTCCGTAACTTTCGTATCGAAAGCCGGAACAAAAATTCTAAATCAAAACGGAAAAAAAGCAGCAGACACCATCAAAACACGCTCAAGATGTGATAAGTCATGCAATCAACATGCATTTCCTTGTTTCATTCAGTTTTCCTCATATAGGCTAGTTTGTCATTTAGTCGTTCATCGCATCACGAAACCTCGCAACTGTACTCCGCGGGTGGAATCTCGTTGTTTGAATCACTAAAAAAATTGACAGTAATTTTTCATTTGTGAACATAAACACTGCTCGGGTGAGGCTTGTATTTTAATGTGAATTGACTTTTTTTTGGTTTTGATTGAAGAGCATCTCACACTGATGCTACTCTTTACGCATGCAATTAACAAGCGTTATCAAATCTGAATTTAAACTTTTTCGTGTCAACAACTAATTTAAGAAAACTACTGAATCATTTTGTGCAGCCTTAATTCTGCAACAAACAAGCTCAATTTCTTCAACAAACAACCATTTCTTTTTTACTTTTATTTTGTTTTTTCCTTTTTTCGGCTTGATTGGCCTATATTATATCACCTTAATGGCCCCATATTGGGTCTTTCGACGAACGAAAAGAAAATGTGTGTGCGTGTGTGCTTTGAGGCTGAGGGGTACCTGATAGTTTTCCTTAAATTAACCTCAAATTTTTTTTGAATTGTTTTTCGGCTTTTTTGTTTTAGTTTTCTTTGTTTTTTGCGGCTTATTAGGTTTCAGCAGTAGCGGATTTGGGGGGGGGGGGGGGGGTTGGTTGGGCAGAAACCCCTTTTCTCAGGGATTCGACCCCCTGCCGACCCAAAGGGTCCCCCTTTGTACTATTTTGAGATATCCATTTTTGGCTGACCGACCTTAAAATTTTTCGAAAGGCGTCTTCGGCGTTAATCTGTACTAATTTTGAGGGAGGAGCGCGCGCCGAAAAAACGCAATTTTTTGGTCGACATTTTCCAAAAAGTGCCCAAAAACGCCTTTTTTCAAAAATTTGCCTGCGCCGGAGAAAATTTGGTAAAAGTAGGATCTTTATAGTGGTTTGGGAGAGCCAAGAAAATCAGTTTGGTCGACCTAAAAAAAAGGTCAATAAAAACTTTTAAGTTTTTT